TGGTCCAAAGACCCCCACATGCTACAGGGCAACTAAGCCCACAGGCCACTGACGCCGTGCTCGAGAGTCTTCTTCGAGCTGCAGCTACTGATCCCGTGTGCCACAGCTACTGAAGCCCGAGAGCCTGGAGCCTGTGCTCCACAGAAGTCACTGCAATGAGAAGCCTTCACACTGCACCTAGGGAAAGCCTGAGCACGTAACGAAGACCCAGCTCAGCCAAAAGTAAATAGATAAATCAATCTAAAAAAAAAAGATTACTTTTCACAGTTGGCTGTGGTTTCTCATCAGTCATCTCATATAACTTGGAATTGGGAAAAGCTAATCTACAAGTTGTGTTCAAAGTTAAAGACATTTTTATGAATATGAAAGGAAATAATGGTTTGATATATATTATGTTTTACAGCTATTTAAGTATTGCAGTTTTGCAGTTTTCATAGTTTAGGGTCAATATATTTTTTTAACAGGTTTCAAATGTTTTTGGGGACGCATGAAAAGTTCATAGGTCCTGGTTTTTAAAATGATCTGCTTAAAATTTTATAACACAAACACAATCTATTCTTAGAATATTATTGTTTATCAACTATTATTTGCTCAGGGAAGTCTTTCCTGACCTTGAATATATTAGATTTGTCTGTCATATGCTCTCCTAGCAAACTGTGCTTCCCATCAGTATCTCCATCAACTGTAATTACCTAATTATTTCTATTACTATTTATCCACAATCTTTTTTCTCTGCTAGCCTATTGAGAGCAAACCTGCATCTTCTCACAGGAAATCTGTTCCAGGAGGAGGATTTCATCACTGATGAGAGCCTGAACGTAAAAAACTAAAAAGCATTCTTAAAACACATCCTGCCTTCTCCACGTTTTATCTGTGACATCTGCCTTTAACATTGAATGTGCCTGTAGTGACTGCAATGTGGTCTTCTGAAGACATAATTTGTTCTTGGCTGCTTAGCAGTTCTGGTCTTGGGTCTCTGGCCCTTCTGGAGACCCTGTGAGCTACCTAATATGCTTGGCAAAGTCGTGATGAATCTTTTTATTTACCACACAGAAATACATTTAAATGTTTAGCTGTTGTATTCATATGGGGTGGGGGAAGTTCAAGAGGGAGGAGACATATATATACTTACGGCTAATTCACGTTGTTGTATGGCAGAAGTCAGCATAATATTGGTACAGCAGTTATCCTACAATTAAATTTTTAAAAAGAATGCTTTATATTTATCCTGGAGTTTCCCCAGGTATAAGGTTTTTCACCACACTAAACAAAATTTTGCAAACTTAAAACTAGACCTTTGGTGGGGGGGGCGGGGAATGGTTTCAACTTACTGAGCCCCTAATCAGGTGTCAGGAACTGTGGTACATTTCCCACACCATTGCACTAAATCCTCATAAGATTAAATTCATTTGTTACTATCCCCATTTTACCAGGAGTAAACTGAACTTCAGGGCTTCCCTGGTGCTCAAATGGTAAAGAATCTGTCTGCAGTGCAGATCTGGGTTTGATCCCTGGGTCGGGGAGATCCCCTGGAGAAGAGAATGGCAACCCACTGCAGTACTCTTGCCTGGAGAACTCCATGGACAGGAGCCTGGTGGGCTACAGTCCATGGGGTCACAGAGGGGCCGACATGACTTCCTGACTAACACTTTCTTTTCTTAGACAACTTCACAGCAGCAGCACAGTGCCCACAGGAGCAGGTAAGCAGGGCCGGGGTCTAAACTCCACCCTGGCTCCAAAGCTCAGACTTATTCGTTTCATATGCTCCCTCATGTTTCTGAGCATTGCTGCTACCTACCCTGGAAGACTTCTTTCTTATAGGATTGTGTTAGGCAGGGTGCTCATAACCAAGAAATAGTGTTGAGGAAGGAGACCATGCCCCAGGGATGGTGAGATGGAAAGTCAGGAGGAACCTGGGACACCGAGGAAGATGCTACTCAAGCCCAGGTCTGCTGATTCCTGGTCATGTTACACAGAAAAGCAAAACCTTTCTTGGTTAAGCCACTCCAACCTAACACATGCTGCCTAACCGCATCTATTACAGTGACGGGAGTGGTTCTACTTTTGAAACTTGTAGGAGTTGAAAACAATTCTCTCCCTGAGAATTAGTATCCCCATTAAGACACAAAAGAGTTGAAATTGTGTTGTTTGTGTGTGTGTGTGTGTGTGTGTGTGTGTGTGTGTGTGTAACCAACCAAAGAAATTCTTACATTAGAAAGCCTGGAATGTGCTTGCTTCGGCAGCACATATACTAGAAAGCCTGGACTTCACATTTCCCAGATGTCGGGGTAGGTGGTTCTTGGCTGCCCTGCCCAGAGCCAGGCCTCCTGCTGGCCAGACACAGCAGTGATTAACGGGGAGGGCACAGTGAGAGCTTGACTGAAACTTGGGAGTGTCAAACTTCCTTTGAAAGAAATGAAAAAAATTCAGTTTCTTTCCATGTAGGCAAATCTACTTCCCCCAGCTGTTTAGGGTTTTCTGGTCTGTGACATTAGCATTTCTAGATTGCTGTTTTCTTCAGCTTTCAAGTCTGAGATATATGAGTCAAAAATAAAACCAAGAAGTTTACCACTGGTCATCTTATATTTGTTTTATGTATAATCATCTGTCAGAACAGGCTTTATAAACTTTGGGCTATTGTACAAGTAAAATTCACTCTAGAGGTATGATAAATTGTCACGATTAATACTATTTAAATAGATATGGTTCTGATGGTTTGCATTTAGTTTTCCTACATATCCACCAGTGTATTTTGATTCAACATGCTTGATTACAGACTCTCCCCGTTGTTAACACCTACTCCATTTCAGTGCTCACTTGAAATTTAGTCATTCTATACAGGGAACTGCTGGGGCCCTAGGAGTTGAGAGGAGGAAATCCTTCTTAATCATAATGCTGAAAGAGCCATGATACTTCCAGCCCAGAGGAATGGGCTGTAGTGAGGAGTCCAGGTAGTGCCGAAAGGCTAGGAAGGAGACAGGTCCTGAGCTCTTCCAGTATGAAAGAAATGCAAATGCATCTGGTACATTTATAGTCAAATATATAAACACCTGGTCCTGGTAAAACAAACAATTTGGAGATAGTTGTGATATGGACTTACCATGGCTTGCCTCCTGCTTCTATGGGTGTCTGAAGGCCCCCGAAAGCCCTGAGTCTCCTAAAGGGAGTGGTGTTTCTGTTGAGTTGACAATGATAGAGCCGCTGCTTAGCTCAGTGGCTGTTTCTCTGGTGATTAGGTGTTAAATGCTGTCCATGGAAATAATGGGGATATTCAACCCGAATGGGATGGAACTAACAGGTGGCTATGGAAGCCTTAGACAGAAGTGCAGAGATGCTCTACCAAAGGGGAATGGCAGAACCTCCCACCAACATCTATGATCTCCATACTATGTCATCATTATAACTTATAGGTATTAAAAAAAAATCACATGCAAGAGCCCCTAAGGAATTACATAGCATTATGAAAAGAACTGAATATACAACTGGCAGATAACTATAAGGTTCAGTTCAGTTCAGTCGCTCAGTTGTGTCCGACTATTTGCGACCCCATGAACCTCAGCACGCCAGGCCTTCCTGTCCATCACCAACTCCCGGAGTTTACTCAAACTCATGTCCATTGAGTTGGTGATGCCATCCAACCATCTCATCCTCGGTCGTCCCCTTCTCCTCCTGCCCTCAATCTTTCCCAGCATCAGGGTCTTTTCCAATGAGTCAACTCTTCGCATGAGGTGGCCAGCGTACTAGAGTTTCAGCTTCAGCATCAGTCCTTCCAATAAACAGTCAGGACTGATCTCCTTTAGGATGAGCTAGTTGGATCTCCATGCAGTCCAAGGGACTCTCAAGAGTCTTCTGCAACACCACAGTTCAAAAGCAGCAATTTTTCGGCACTCAGCTTTCTTCACAGTCCAACTCTCACATGGATGTGAGAAAAACCATAGCCTTGACTAGATGGACCTTTGTTGGCAAAGTAATGTCTCTGCTTTTTAATATGCTATCTAGGTTGGTCATAACTTTCCTTCCAAGGAGTAAGCATCTTTTAATTTCATGGCTGCAATCACCATCTGCAGTGATTTTGGAGCCCAAAAAAATAAAGTCTGACACTGTTTCCACTGTTTCCCCATCTATTTCCCATGAAGTGATGGGACCAGATGCCATGATCTTAGTTTTCTGAATGTTGAGCTTTAAGCCAACTTTTTCACTCTCCTCTTTCACTTTCATCAAGAGGCTCTTTAGTTCTTCTTCACTTTCTGCCATAAGGGTGGTGTCATCTGCATATCTGAGGTTATTGATATTTCTCCCGGCAATCTTGATTCCAGCTTGTGCTTCTTCCAGCCCAGCGTTTCTCATGATGTACTCTGCATATAAGTTAAATAAGCAGGGTGACAATATACAGCCTTGACATACTCCTTTTCCTATTTGGAACCAGTCTGTTGTTCCATGTCCAGTTCTAACTGTTGCTTCCTGACCTGCATACAGGTTTCTCAAGAGGCAGGTCAGGTGGTCTGGTATTCCCATCTCTTTCAGAATTTTCCACAGTTTATTGTGATCCACACAGTCAAAGGCTTTGGCATAGTCAATAAAGCAGAAATAGATGTTTTTCTGGAACTCTCTTGCTTTTTCGATGATCCAGCGGATGTTGGCAATTTGATCTCTGGTTCCTCTGCCTTTTCTAAAACCAGCTTGAACATCTGGAAGTTCACGGTTCACGTATTGCTGAAGCCTGGCTTGGAGAATTTTGAGCATTACTTTACTAGCGTGTGAGATGAATGCAATTGTGCGGTAGTTTGAGCATTCTTTGGGATTGCCTTTCTTAGGGATTGGAATGAAAACTGACCTTTTCTAGTCCTGTGGCCACTGCTGAGTTTTCCAAATTTGCTGGCATATTGAGTGCAGCACTTTCACAGCATCATCTTTCAGGATTTGAGGTTAGTCACTTGTAACTCCTTAGGCATAAACAGTCCAAGTTTTGTTACTTTTTGTTTTTTAAAAGATAGTCAGAGTTACTTATATATAATGCTCTAGAACCACCTGGTAATTATTTATTCACTATCATACAAATTTGTCACATAACTTATGGGTGAATACTGGAGTAAATGCTTATAAAATGGGCTTTGAGGGTACAACTACTAAGTCTATTCTAATAAAAGGTTTTTTTTAAAAAAATAAGAAATAACATTAAAAACAAACTGAAAAGAAAACATTCTTATGCAAATTTAAAAAAAATTAAAAGCAAGATTTCTGAGTTTTTCTTTAGTCAATATAAATTTCTAGCTCTGTCTTTAATACATCAAATTCCTTCTGTATATTGACAGAATATATACCAGAATCTCTGCCTGTTGTAAACCCTGCCTTTGGGAAAAACAGTCCCATTTTTCTGAGTTTATTACCTGTGTTTCATAACTCACGGCATTTTGTGGGCTTCAGTAGCAGTATTTATTTCTACCAAAAATTCACCAACTCTTAAATATGGAACTCAGGTTCTCTAAAAGTCAAAACAAAAAACATTTCTGCAAACAGTGATGGTAGCTATTTCCACAGAAGAGTACTGAGCAGAATATTCTACATTCCTTTACACATACCAAGGTAATGCTTGCGCATGGTAGAAGCGGAATAATTGCACGTCAATCTTACCATCAATTCATGGCGATCAGTTACACGATATATTTGATAACATGTAATACATACCTGTCATATATGTAAAACATATTATGAGCATTAGTGTTCAGTAAGACAATAGCCCAATAACAAATGACATTTTGTTATTCAAATGAGCTTATAATGTCAACACCAATGCTAATAAAAATATATAATAGGCCGAACTCATCAACAGCACAGTTGTAATTCATTTGAAGTTTCCCACATTTCAAAGTCTTTCATAGATAAAATGAAATTCTTCTATTTTGTGAAATTTTAATCTTTACCTGTTAAAGGTTTGGCAAGGCAAAGGCTCCCCTGCTAGCAGAGGAAAAAAAGCAGAGATGGAACAAATAGGTCACCATACATATCACATATGTTGTGAGCACCTCTTTACTCCTGTAGGACAGAAAATTCTGGGTTTCCACATTCTTCATGCTTTAGCAATCAAAATAAAAGCATAATTTACATCTAGACAGATGTAAAATGCTTCAGTTTTCATTTAAAATTGGTGTTTCCCTTTTCAGATTATTTAAAATAAAAAAAAAAAGAATTAATTCTGTCTACTAAGGTTTTTAAACATGGACATTGTGAGTTCTTTTCATATTGAATTTTAAGGGATGATGCTTCACTCTATTTCTAGACTATTAGATGCAAGAAAGGTTAAGTGTGATGAATCAGTACAATGTTGGTAACATGGTGACCCTTTAAAACCAAAGACATAAAAAAAAAGTTTTTTTTCAAGGATATTTTAACAAATAAGGATTTGCTTTGTAAATACATGCCATACTTAAAGACAAAACTTGGATTAATTGTTATATTCAGGAAATAGGTATTTTATTATTTAGCCCTTTATATGTGCGTGAGAGAGAGGGAAAGAGAAAATTTTCAGCTTAAGTAAGACTCTAACTTCCTGAGAATTTTCTAATTAGGTAAAAATACTGATTGAGATATTTACTTGTCTTACCAGCAATTGTAAGAAAAATATACTTTGCATATTCATGAGAAACATCATAAGTACATTATTGGTTGATATCTTAATGAGGCATCTGTTTAAACAGATGTTTTAGTTGAGAAAACTGTGAAACAAGCTTCTAAATTTACAAATATCTCGGTTACTCTTCCTTGCCTGGGAGGTTGAGCCTAAGTTTACGTAGATTAGAGGAAAGCCTGAGTCTGGAAAGATTCAAAGGATCCCATAAATGCAGGTAAAGTAATACAGTTAAGTAACTTGGGAATTACTTTAATAATTATTTACAGAATGTCTGTTGCTTTCCTTCTTTGCTCACATACAAGTGACCTGAGTTACTCCGTCTTCCTGGTCAAACTGTCCATCATCTAGTTCCCGCAGGACGCTGTCACTATTGCTGCCAGAGAAGCTGCTGGGCTGGGCTGGCCTCTTCTCCTTCATCCAGCATTCCCTAGAAGGGGCGAGTAGGCAGTCCTCAGGCGGGCTTCTGCTCTCTGCGGGCTGTAACAGGTCTGTGTCCAAGCTGACGCTCCTGCTTGGGGCTTTACTCCTGTCTTCACTTTTCACGTGCCGGCTGCCTTTCCTCTGAAACACGAGAGATTAGCAACTATGAGTTAATAAAAGGCTGGGTGTCGTCCTGCCCCTCTGATCTAGCCCTCTGCCCACTTCTCTTCCAAATCCTGCTCCTCTTCAAGGACAGCTCAGGGCCGCCACCCCGCCAGGAGAAGGTGTGTCCCCGTTCTGTTAATAAACATCTGTGGCTTCATGGTCCACCGTTCTCCTTGTTGTCAGGGTGGTCATGTGGCCCGATCTGGGCCCTCAACAACACCTCTGAGGAGAGAGACCTGTTGAGATCATACTTTGGGGAACAAAGCAGATAGAGATACACTTGAAGCTTCCATTTTTCACCTTGGTATTCGTTGGGATCTGAGCAGCAGAAAAAGTGCCTTAGAGGCCACCTCACCCCTGTTTCTATAGGAATAGTCTGCACAGATAATTCAGATAGAGATCATATTGGAAGAAGGGGTGCCTTTCCAGGTGGGGTGGACCCCTCTCCTTGTCCTACTACAGACCGCTTCTGCCTGGCATGGTGGGATTGTTCAGCAACGGGACCAGCTCATTCTGCAGGCTGTCTGAGGAGCTGTAAATATTTTCACAATAAAATATTACTGAGACCTGACCACACCCTTGGTGCGGTTCATAATAAAAGGACATGGTTTTCCTGCCAAGGGTACTAAGTCGAACAAAGGTATCTAAGTCAGTGGAAGGAGAGCTCAGGGAGACAACTTTCATGTTCAGACTTCTGATGAAATTTTCTCACGGGGGTTTCTTTAATACTGACAACATGACATATATTGGATCATGTGCATATACTTAGGCACAGAAACTGAATAAGGATACATGATAAAAGATAAAGTGAAAAGTGAATGTCACTCAGTCATGTCCGACTCTTTGCGACCCTAGAATTCTCTAGGCCAGAATACTGGAGTGGGTAGCCCTTCCCTTCTCCAAGGGATCTTCCCAACCCCGGGATCAAACCCAGCTCTCCCGCATTGCAGGCAGATTCTTTACCAGCTGAGCCACCAGGGAAGCCCATGATAAGATAAAAAATATTTTAAAGCCCATTATTTTCCATACTATCAAGAGTTTATTTTCTTAAAGCTCATTTACATGTTAGCTGAGAACTAGGATTACATTTTCTCAAATGTGAGAGGTAAAATTACTAAAATAAATAAAAAATCCCTTAGGAAAACAATATAGAAGTCAGATTCCTAGGCTAGTCTTAGAAAAGTTTGTTAGACTATAGATTTGTTGAACTACTGTGTATAAAATACAAAAGTATTTTCTGCTGGTTTTCATGGCAAATACACAATACAAACAAGCAGCTGTATTAAACTGAATTTTATGGGCTGCTGGGGAATGCAACCACAGTTGACGGTGGTTGGCTGACAGCATTGTTTACATAGGGAGATGCAGGCTGCAGTGTGCTGCCTAGAAAGGAGTGTGTTGGCAGCTCATCTTTTTCTTGGCTGGTTACCTGAGTCCTTGGGCAAGTTTAAAGGAACAAGCCTGCGTGGGACCTGCCTCAGTAAAGGCCCACCCTCGTGTCTCAAGTCAGATATAACTTGATGGTGGGGACATTTTCATTTGCATTCATCAAGTGCAAATATTAGATCTCAAATCCCTTTCTTTTTTATTCTGATTCACCAAATGTACTGAGTTTAACACAAGCAGTTGAACCTGACAGATTTGCCCTTAAGGTACAGAAGTTGAGAATGGCATGTTCTCCCTGGTGTTGGGACACTGGAGGGTGAGGACAGAGCCTTTTGGCTGCAAGCAGGCCTGGTGGATGCTGCTCCTTTCTCAAGCCTGGCTGCTGGCTCCTTCCCCATATGCACAAAGGGTGCATTCACTCCAGGATGACCTCTCCTGTTGCCTGAATGAAATGGGAAGGAGGGGGTGCCTGGAAGCACTTGGCAGTCTGGGTCTTTCCTTCTTCATAAGCATCAGGGCCAAAGGTAAATTTTGCAATAAATTCCTTATTGTGTATCAGCCAATAGAGGCTTACTTTCACATACTCAATGAGAAATTTCTTAATAAAAATTAGGTATTAGTCAGGATAATAAGATAGAATAATTTGCTTTTAGATAAGAATTAATAAGTAAACAAACACCAAATACCAACTTCAAATATTAGAAGATAATTAAATACCTAACTCTAAAAAAGATTAGAAAAAACCCTGATGTTCAGAAAGACTGAGGACAGGAGGAGAAAGGGGTGACAGAGGATGAGATGGTTGGATAGCATCACTGACTCAGTGGACATGAGTTTGAGCAAATTCCAAGAGATGGTGAAGGACAGGGAAGCCTGGTCTACTGCAGTCCATGGGGTCACAAAGAGTCAGAAATGACTTAGTGACTGAACAACAAAATGTCACAACTAATGCTTTTCTTTTTTACTAAATGACTCTTAATAAATACATCTTCAGCAATGACATTGCCTCCCTTACTCCACATGAGAAGACTCTTGAGAGTCCCTTGGACAGCAAGGAGATCAATCTGTCAATCCTATAGGATATCAGTCCTGAATATTTCCTGGAAGGACTGATGCTGAAGCTAAAGTTCCACTACTTTGGCTACCTGATTCGAAGAACTGACTCATTTAAAAAGACCCTGAAGTGGGGAAAGATTGAAGGCAGGGGGAGAATGGGATGACAGAGGACAAGACAGTTAGATGGCATCACTAACTCAATGGACATGAGTTTGAGTAAGCTCTGGGAGATGGCGAAGGACAGGGAAGCCTGGCATGCTGCAGTTCATGGGGTCGCAAAAAGTCAGACACATCTGAGTGACTGAACAGCAACTCCACATGAAATAATAGCTTTTCCAACAAATCAAATTGCAATGTTCTTATAACTTAGAGTGTAGGAGACAGAAACCTGACCAGTCCATGAAGATCATCCACTCTAATCCCTCCTTCTACCGACATGGGGCCCAGAAACAAGATGGTATTTGTCCAAGGTCAAAGGATAGCTGGCTTTGAACTGGAACCTGAGTGTCTTACCTTATTCTTTTTACATTTTTCACTATGCAAAAATGTGAGTAGATTTACGGTCAAAGATTTGTATGTTTCTCAAAGATTTCCAATCACAAAAATAATACATGCTCAGTGTAGAAAACCTGGTAAAAACAAAGAAAAAAAGCAAAGCCCATCCACAATCCCATTTCACAGAGATACCACTGTTAAGATTTGACATGTTTTACTATGTATATCTGGAGAAGGAAATGGAAACCCACTCCAGTATTCTTGCCTGGAAAATCCCATGGACTGAGGATCCTGGTAGGCTATAGTCCATGGGGTGGCAAAGAGTCAGACACGACTGAACGACTTCACTTCACTATGTATATATGGGCTTCCCTGATGGCTCAGTGGTAAATAATCTGCCTGCCAATGCAGGAGACACATTCGATCCCTGGGGGGGCAAGATTCCCTGGAGAAGGAAATGGCAACCCACTCCAGTATTCTTGCCTGGCTAATCCCATGGACAGAAGAGCCTGGTGGGCTACCAAAGAACTGATACCTTTGAACTGTGGTGCTGGAGAAGTTTCTTGAGAGTCCCTTGGACAGCAAGGAGATCAAACCAGTCAATCCTAAAGGATATCAACCCCAAATATTCATTGGAAGGCTAATGCTGAAGCTCTGATACTTTGGCCACATGACACAAAGAGCCGACTCTTTGGGAAAGACCCTAATGTTCGGAAGGAATGAAGGCAGGAGGAGAAGAGGGCAGTACAGAATGAGACGGTTAGATAGCATCACTGACTCAATAAACATGAATTTGAGCAAACTTCAGGAGATAGTGGAGGGTAGAGGAGTCTGGCATGCTGCAGCCCATGGGGTTGCAAAGAGTCAGACATGACTTAGCGACTGAGCAACAACACTGTCTACTTGCATATGCACACAAAGATGTGTATAGCTCACTTTTGCACTTAGCACTCACTGTATTTTGAGTATTTCCCTATGTCATAAAGAGATTTTTTTTTCCATTTATTTTTTATTAGTTGGAGGCTAATTACTTTACATCATTACAGTAGTTTTTGTTATACATTGAAATGAATTAGCCATGGATTTACATGTATTCCCCATCCCAGTCCCCCCTCCCACCTCCCTCTCCACCCGATCCCTCTGGGTCTTCCCAGTGCACCAGGCCCGAGCACTTGTCTCATGCATCCAACCTGGGCTGGTTATCTGTTTCACCCTAGATAATATACATGTTTCAATGCTGTTCTCTTGAAACATCCCACCCTCGCCTTCTCCCAGAGTCCACAAGTCTGTTCTATACATCTGAGTCTATAAAGAGATTTTTCATGCTACATTGCTAGGCTTATTCCTATAGGTTCTCAGAATTCATATGGGTTCTCTTTCTTCTGATATTTCACTATAAATTTGGAGAGATTCTATCAAGATCTGCATGCAGATCTAATGCCACCATTGATAAAATCAGTCAGTTTTGTTTTGGTTTTTTCACTGTGCTGGGTCTTAGTTGTGGCATGTGGGAACTAATTCCCTGACCAGGAGTTGAACCCAGGCCCCCTGCATTGGAAGAACAATCTTAACCATTGCACCACCAGGGAAGTCTCCAATTGATCAACTTTTGAGAATCATCCTCATTTACTAAAATGAGTTACCCATTTCAAATACTTGAGACTCGGTGACAAAGCAGTTGCATTTATGGTGCCCTACCAGTCTACCTTTCATTTTCCACTCATGATGTCTTAAAAACATAAGCAGAATTATACCAGCAATTATAAGATATCGCATGCCTTGTATAGTGTCATGATGGATAGAGTGGAAGAGTAGCTAAAAAATATGATTTATATAGCAATAAAAACATGGAGTGGACATTCAGGATTTCTCCCCCTTGTGTTTTTCAGGCTTGAGGGAGGACTAGAAAGTCACTGGAAGGCTAAGTGTAGCTCTGATACCAGTTAGAAGAGTCAGAGGCTTTGAATCACACAGAGAAACCCCACAGAATATGCTTGCTCACAAAGTATGTTCCTGGGTCAGGTCATCCAAGCTTGGTG